TATCTAGCTATCATCCATTTATTGATCATCTATCTATCTATGTATCATCCATTTATCTATCTAGCTATCATCCATTTATTGATCATCTATCTATCTATCTCTCTCTCTCTCTCTCTCTCTCTCTCTCTCTCTCTCTCTCTCTCTCTCTCTCATTAACTATATCTACCTGCACTCTTCAACATACAACCAGTCACTGAGTGACCGTCGAAAGTTACAATGGAGCCCCTCCCAAGGACCCTTAGAACCCCATGCTGAAGGTCTGATGGTTGCCCGCTCACTCCCCCTACCCACACATGCCATTTTGATTTTTTTGACTACATCCTGCAGACGCCCCTCCAACCCAGTTCCCTGCTCACACGTTCCACTAAACCAATCTTTAACCGCCATTAGAAGCCCCGCCCTCCCGGCTGGGTTTGCCCAACCCACAAGGCCGCCCAGCCGCGATGCCTGTGTCGGCGCCCCCTGGAGCCAGAATCAAGGATCTACATGGCGGCTTCGCAGGATTGCTGATCACCCAAATCCCCTTCGGATCTTGCAGATCTCCTGCAGAAATCCACCCTCTTTCGATGGGCCACCCATTTTTAATCCATTCCGTGGATCGATTTTGAGATCTTAGATCTGATCTCAAGTCCATTAGGGGAAAGGGAGACACACACACACACACACACACACACACACACACACACGGACACACGGACACGCCCCCTCACTTCTTGATGCTATTGGTCAGGAGAAGGTGAGTGTCCTGCTTCTCGTCCAATAGGAGGGCAGCCCCGAGGTAGCCAATCCGCTTCTCGTGGAGTCGGGTGGAGGCGATGAGTTTCAAGCACTCCATCTGGGTGGCGACAGGAAGAAGAGGACTTAATGCTTTTTTTTCCCACCATGCTTTGCAGCGGCGTTCAGCTAGGGGCATGGCGGGAAATCAAAATGGCGGCTTACAAAATGGCCGCCAAGGAAGGGCGATATTTTGACGCTTAACCCATCCAAAAGCAAAAGTTATTTTGCATGCATGTAATATATTTATAGATGCTTTGCTGAATTCTTACAAAATCACAGGCAGTCCTCAACTCCGTTGCTAAGCGGGACGGTTGTTAAGCGAGTTTTGCTCCGTTTTACCACCGTTCTTGCCACCTGCTTGTTGTTAAGCGAATCAATGCAGTTGTTAAGCTAGTCACACGGGTGTTACAGCTTCCCCGTTGACTCGGTGTGTCCGAAGGTCGCAAAAGGGGAACGTTGTAACCGTCATAAAAGTGGGACAGTTGCCAAGTCTCTGAATTTGGATTACGTGGCCATGCGGCTGCTGTGACGGTCGTAAGTGTGAAAAACGGCCGTCGGGTACTGTTTCCAGTGCCGTTGTAAGTTGGGATCACGTGGCCATTGGTTAAGCGGAATTTTGGCCCCGTTTTACGACCTTTCTTGCCACGGTTGTTAAGCGAATCCCTGCAGTTGTTCAGTGAGTCACACTGTTAAGTGAATCGGCCTTCCCCTGCTTGTCGGGAGGTCGTAAAATGGGGAATCTCGTGACCCCGGGACACCGCAACCGTTATAAATGTGAACATTTGAATTCACATCTGAATTCTCATCCCGCGACCCCGGGGATGTGGCAACGGTCGTATGGGTGAACAACGGTCGCAGGTCCCATTTTCCAGGGCTGCCGTCCCTTTGAACGGTCATTAAACGGAAGTAAGTCGAGGACTAGCGGTTACGTACCTGTCCGAAGTGGGCAGGATAGCCCAACATATAGATATACAGCAGTTTCGCCAAATTGGAGGCCCGGTTCCCCGATTCATCGCCCCGAAATGCACTCCTGATTTTGGCGCTTTCCCGTTGTACTAATTCCCGTTCCTCCGCCTGCGTCCGGGCACTCCGGATGGTCCGGATGAGGACCGGTAAGGTGAGCGGACCCTCCGACATCCTAAACGGCACAAGTGATCACTTGTCAGGATTTAGTAGAAATTCCTCGTCTTCTTTGCATGGTGTGAATTTTTTCTTGCAATTCCCCCCCCCCCCGAAAAAACCCGCAAGTTTAGAACTCGGGACCGAAGTCCATCATTCAACCATCATCTCAGGTGCATCGGAGTTACAAAACGCAGAATTTAAGTTGGGGATTTGGGGATCGGCCGCACAACACTTTTCAGTCTTGAGTTTTGCACAGCCATTTCTCTTCGAGACGCCGAACCTGGTTTTCCTTAACCCGGGTTAAGGTTGACCGGAGCGTCTGAACCCGGCTTAGGTTTGTTCCTTCGTGATTGGCTCTAATTACAGCCAACGAGGTTGATTTCAGAATTCCTTCAATTACGTGAATTGAAGCGGAATCAACTGCGCCTACTGGCAAACCCACACTGTTTTTCTAAATCGGGCCATGGGGAGTGGGGGGTCTCGTAACTTGGATGACTTTTGAGACGGACGGACTTCCCAGAATTCCTCAGCTAAGGAATTCTGGGAATCGAAGTCTATTCTGGGAGTTGAAGTCCAGTCCAACCATCCTCAAAGTTGCCAAGGTAAAGAAATCTTGTGTTAAATAGTCTATATTCTATTTCTACATTCTTTTCTGTTCTGTTCTATTCTATTCCTATATTCTATATTCTATTTCTTCTATTTTAATTCTATATTCTATTCTATTCCTATATCTATATTCTATTTCTTCTATTTTAATTCTNAGTATTCCAATATTTGAGGGGCTGCCACAAGGAAGAGGGGATCAATCTATTTTCCAAAGCACCTGAAGACAAGACAAGAAGTGATGGGTGGAAACCTATCAAGGAAGAAACCAACCTAAGTCAAAGGAGAAAGTTCCTGACAGAACAATTAATCAGTAGAATGAGTTGCCTCCAGAAGTTGTGGGTGCTTCATCAATGGAGATTTTTAAGAAGAGAAGAGACATTTGTCTGACGTGATACAGGGCTTCCTGCTTAAGCAGGGGATTAGACTAAAAGAGCTCTAAATTTCTTCCAACTCTGTTATTCAGTTCTGTTCAGTGTATTAGAGTGGAGTCTAATACTCCTCTTTGGCCCCATCTGTGGATGTGCGAATGAAATTCACCCCCTCTCCCCTCCATATACACACATGCTCTAAACTTTGTTTAAAGAAAGTCAGAAGAAACTCCGTATCTCATGGGGAAAACTACAGGAGGGAAGGGAAGGGAAGGATTGGATCAAAGTCTGATTGTGCAACAGGAAGTCACACAAACAACACTGAATTCCATATTTAAATATGGGTGATGATTTATAAAATGAATAATAAGGGACAGTCCAATATCATTTTAAAAAATAGCTCATTTAGTATGACATGAGATACTATACAATCCTTTCTCAGGCTATTTAGACAATAGATTGTGACGTGTGTCAGACGTTGCCTAATTCCAGTCTGTTGGGAGAGGCTTGGTGATTCATTGGGAGCTATAAATAACACTTCTTTAAGTAACGAGATGGTCCAGATCCTCGGGAAGCTATTCTAAGCACCATTCAGAAGAAGCTTTAATTAAATTCATCTGACCTGAGAAATTATAGACCAGTCTTGAATAGCCCAGTCAGAACAAATGGGTCATGACAAAGCAGCTATATATTATCTCTGGTGGAGAAACAATTTCAACCATCCCAAGACCTAGTTGGGAAATTGGAGTAGAAGCCATAAGATAATCGACAGCTCTGCCTTGTCTGTCAACAGTCTGTAGGTCAACATTATGTGGCTTTAATCTGTATCTAGTTTTACATTTATGCATAAGAA